TAAATGTTCCTCTGGGCAGGTGAAGTACCTGCTCTGAGCTGCGAAGGCTGTTCGATTAAACTCCATTTAAAATGTCACCGGAGGCTTCCTTTACAAAGACTTTTCGATTATTAGGAAGCCTTACGTCGACCGTTTTGTTTTAACATACGTTCACGCTTTTTCGACAGTTTCACAAAACCATCCCCCGAGTACTTCCCAAGACTTGTGTAATCAAAGCAAAACAAGCAAAATAAAGGTATTCGTGGCTCGTGATCGGGGTTTGCTCGTTTAAATTAAAAGTCTAGCGTTCCTTAAATGGATGTGTATCGCCCGCTACCTTTGACGACGGTTTTAGATCGGAAATCCTTTTGTTGAGATGGAACGCGTTAAAGCTGTTTGGGTCAAACCTTATAAATGTTCACAAAAAAGTTAAGTCAGGTCATGTGGACAGATGCTTTTTGGTGGAAACGCTTCGTCTTTCATCCGAAAAACTTCATCAGTCTGAGGCCTGCCAACAAACTCACTCGTATAAATGGCACCTTTTAAAAGTGTATTAAGCCAATACACAAGGTGTTTTAACCCTTCCCGCACTCTTGCAGTATTCCAATGTTTCTAAACTCTAAACCAGAGCTTTTCAACAGGGGGTCACAATTTCTGAAAGCCAACAGTTCGGGGGCCGGACATCCAGCGATTAAAATCATTATGTAAATAAACCAACGTTTACAATGATCTGTTGCCTTTTCAATTTGTTTATTTTATTGCATTGAATCATAAATGCAATAAACCAAACCCAAACCCAGACACCCCCCCACACACACACACAAACACACACAAAAAAAATAAATTAAAAAATTTGTTTGTTTTTATGAAGTGGGCCGGATCGAAGTCGACCCACGGGCCGCCAGTTGAATAGCCCTGCTCTAAACTCTCTACAAGAGCACAGACCGTCATGATTTCCCTCTCTCTGCCTCTGCTGCTCTGTCACCTGCAAGCGTTCTTGGCCACGCCCACTTCTCCGCTCTGCATGGAGAACAGCTGATCAGCTGCAGGAGTGGGCTGCACAAAGGTGCAGCAGGTGCTAAATAATAAAAAAATAATAATTAAATAAAAATTCCATGCTGATCGTGCGACTCATCGATCACTCAGCCAATTGTGTGTCTTATTTTAAAAAACCGCGATAGAGCGAGTCCGCGTAAAACGTACCGCGAAGTAGCGAGGGACTGCTGTACATCTAATGGTTGCTTTCTGAGTTTCATTCAAACCTGTCCAAAGGTTCATGAGATATTTTAGCAACAGACGATGTTGACACCAACCGTTGATGCCGAGGTTTTAAGAACAGGCAGGTTCAGGTGTGTCGTGCCACGATGACTCTCAGCTACTAGCACAGCAAACTTTAGCTCAGTATCTGTAAAGTTCACTTGAGTTGCAGATATTTTGAGTTTGTGAATGTTGATTAGCTGCTATGGCCATCGTGAACTGGGACGACTCCAAAGGTTTATCAGTTGTAGATCGGCGTACCTCCAGTGATTACTGCTGGATAAAAATATCCTCTATTGATTTTACGTTATCGAAAGAAGCCACATTCGAGGACACGAGACGATTTTTAACCGGTTTTACTTGCAACGACAGACTTTTACTACAGGTTACACAGAAGTTCTACTTGCATGGAGCCGTCACGAGAATCTGCCACGGGCAGCGTGCGAGAATTGTTTTTATAAACTTATCAACGCTCTCGGTTCACAGGCAGACACTGATGACCTCGGCCACCCAGCTGCACGTGCAGGATCAAATCAGCTCCTGGTTCAGCTCTCTCTGAGAAAGAAATAACTCTCTGCTAACTCAAACACACGGTTCGTGGGCAGTTAACATTCTCCACCATAGTAGTTAAAAACTTGACTCAAATCCCCTGACAGTTGCCGTTACATTTAGTTTCAGTTCATGTGATTTTTTTTAATTTTTTTATAAAGTTGACTCTAATATTAAAAAGCAAAGTTAAAAAAGAACTGATCTCATCCAGTTCCCTCAGAGGATAAGTTAGGAATGATCTCGGCTACTACCACACTGACTTTGCACAATATTTGTAAAACTGAGTTAACATTGGACCTTTGTCTTAACGATAATTTACTCTCGTTATGAAACAAATCTACTTTGTGCAACATTTTTTATTCTCTTCTGATCTCGAGTTTTAATGTTAGGACTCGGTTCATCACAGACTTGGAGAATATGGGGTCAGGAGTCATCGAGAGCCTGTTTGCTTCTTCAGTTCAGTCAAAGCGAGCTTCAGATCGGTGTTTCGTGTTTCACCTGGTGAGTTTTGCACTTTCAACTTCAACAAGGTGGACGGATTTGAGTCATGGGAGGTGAAGCAGGCCAGAGGTCTGAGAACTGGCCTTTTGATTTGACTCATCTGTAGCAATTCCAAGTTTCATCTCAACAGCTTAAAATTAAAACTAGTAATCCTGCCGAGGACGAATAAATCATACGCGCTCGAGGCTAAAATAACGTAATGAACAATCGTTTAAAAAAGACGTTAGTGTTGTGTTATTGTTTTTCTCCAAAACATGGATCTTGAGGGAAAATGTCTCAAATTTTCCATGAGCGCTCCATGTTGTCTGAAACGGGTTATCACAACTTTCACAATCAGTCGTAAGCATCCTCAAAATAATAGACGTCTGACGGCTCGGAAAGACACGTCAGCGCGTATCCTGTTTTTATTTGAACAAGGTTCGAACGTTTTGGACAAAAACAGATTTCCGCTGCATGTTACAATTAATCGGAGCATCTTTCCTATAAGTTGATCAAAATGTGTAGATAAATGAGTCTGCTCAGTTTAGTCTGAACCAAGTTCAACTCAAAAGCCAAAGTGAGAGTGACTTTTACTGAGTTACTCATCCGAGTTTCACACGAGTCATTTCTGTTTACAGTAACATAATCCAGATTAGTCAAAACCAACTTAGTCATTACCCCCTTTTTTTTTTTTACCATGTTATGCTTTGAAAGATGCAATGCAGTGAAAATTCATAAAAACCCTCAAAAAGTTATAATTTCCTTGACAGCCTAGTTTGAATAAGTACAAATGCAAATAAATTGGTACAATACAGTGCGCTGAAATTAAAGTTGCTTATATCTGCATCCTGTTTGTGTGTAGTGCACATATATATTTAATAGTGTGTGTGTGTGTGTGTGTATATATATATAATATAATAAGAATATATGTATAATCAGGTCTCTCTTGTAAATGAGTCCCCGAGGCTCAATGGGATTAACCTGTGTACATCAGTCACAGATTTATTTGTCATTCACATCTCATGTGGTAGAACAAGATTACGTACGCAGGGTCCCAGTTACATCCAACGATAAAATGTAATGCACGCATAAACACAGCAACATGAAACTGATCAGCAGCAACATGAAACTGATCAGCAGCAACATGAAATCTGTGTCATCAGCAAACTTTACAATATGACAGCCTGGATGGGTAGGTGCACAATCATACGTGAGCAGAGTGAACAGGAGAGGGCTCAGCACACAGCCCTGAGGAGCCAGTGCTGAGGGTTATGGTGGAGGAGAAGTTGTTCATCCTCACTGACTGTGCTCTGTTTGTTAAGAAGTCTAGTACCCAGTTGCAAATGGAGGGGCTTAGTCTTAGTGTGGATAGTTTGTCCATCAGGGTTTGGGGGATCATGGTGTTGAAGGCGGACGTGAAGTCCACAAAGAGCATACGGACGTAGGAGTTCTGCTCCAGGTGGATGAGAGCAGTGTGGACCACAGAGGAGATGGCGTCCTCTGTTGATCTGTTCTTGCAGTATGCGTACTGATGAGGGTCCTCGTTGATGTTTGTTTTGATGTGGGTCATGAGCATTTAGTGACAATAAATAAAGGTTGAATGAATGTAGTATATAAAAATTCAACTGTTTAACAAAGGTATGCTAAAACAGTGTTAGATTTGTTGATAACGTTAAAGGGACTATTAATCTTTGCTGTAGTTCGTTTTTTTTTTCTTCCAGCAATTCAGCCTGTTTAGAGTGAACAATCAGCCTCTGGGTAGTTTGGCATGGCTGTGCACACTGAGCACGAGGAGCTCAGGAATAAGATCATAGAGATCCAAGGCAACAGCAAAGGGTGCAAGACCATCTCCAAGCAGCTTCAGTGTTCCTGTGACCACAATGACGAGAAAAAAAATCAAAAAGATGAGATTCATGGGACTTTGCCAACCTCCCAGGACATGGACGCACAAGGAAATGCAACCCCAGGTTGATCTCACACTCATGTTCGTGCTGCTGTTCAGCAATTTTTATGCTACTAGTGCTTAGTGTGTTTTTAGTTAACGTTTTTATTAGTTCGTATCTTAGATCTCATCAGTTTTTCTTTCACACACACTTTAATGCGTTTGTTGGATGTAACTGGGACCCTGCGTACACTTTCGTTCCATCACGTGGTGCGAACGACAAATAAAGAACCTTGAATCTGAGTGCAGATGATTTTATTCAAGCCGACCTAAAACGTCAACGTTCAACAATTTCCGTTCGCACCGTTGCGTCACATTTTGGTTCATAATGGGCTCCGTGGAAGAAGACGACCCAGGAAGGCTCACACTTTGAAAAAAAAAAACTTTAATACAAGAACCCAAGTTTCTGGGAGAATATTTTAGGGCCAGTCTGTGTTGACCAAGAGAATAACAAAACCTAAAAGTGATTTTTTTTTTTTTGTGTGTGTTTTTGTTGCTACAAAATATTTAATTTCAGCCACTTTCATTTGTTGCCATGCTGGTTTACACTTATTTAGGATTTTATTATTTTATTCTTGTGGAACAACGAACTGGTCTTCATTTGTAGGTCAGTGAAATATAACTTCACATTTTACATTAAACCAAGAAGGGGAAAAAAATGAGTAAATTTTTAAATTAAACTTCAGAAGGCAAATGCGTATGATAAAAATATTTTATTTGTTTTGTAGAAAAACAACCATGCAAAGAAAGTTTAATAAAAACGTACCAAAAAAAAAAAACCTCCTCTGCCTCCGTGCCTGGAAAGAAAAACTGAACTGAAACCAGTGAAATCAAAAAAGCGTCTCGTTTTAAACGCCGACACGTTCAGTAAAGATTAGTCTTCTTCATTATCCGCAGGAAGTCTTCCTCACTGACTTCACCGTCTCCATCTTGGTCTGCTTCGTCAATCATTTCCTGACGAGAAACGTAAAGTCGAGATTTAAACCAACGTGAACTGAATGTGGCACACGGAGGAAAAATGACCAACAGATAAAGTGTTTTAACACAGAACGTGATAAAGATTAATTTTATTTAAAACAGGTGTGTTTTGTCTGCAGTCACAGAACGTCTTAATCTCCACAGAAATATATTTTATTTTGGGTTTCAAATGTTTATGGTTCTTTGCTACAATTAAATAGACAAAATGAGCAAACATTGAGCTACATGTGCTGTGGGTCGTCCCCAACTCAAACTCTAAGCACCATTTGATCGCACAAGATCTTTAAAATGTTACCGCTGTTTGGAGTCACCTCTGTTAGCAGAATATCCCATGAACCACTGGACGGATTTAATGAGACTCTCTAAATTTTAATTGCACGTCGTTAGAGACAACCTAATTCATGATGGCCGCCACAGCCAAGTCACCTTAAAAAACATAAAATTAATCGGTTTAGAAAGTGTTGTGCTAAAATCTGACGTGGTAGTAGCTGAGAGTCATTCCCAGAGTGAGACATCTCGAGTTTGGACATATTTTCAAGGTTTAAAACTACGAAAGAAAAGACCAAACTGGGTTGATCTTCTAAAACCTGTTAATGGTTTACCTGCAGCTCGTCGTCGGTGAGGTTCTCTCCCAGCTCCTTGGCGACTCGCTTCAGGTTTTTGAACGTTATTTTTCCCGTGCAGTCGTCATCAAACAGCCGGAAAGCTTTCAATATTTCCTCTTTGGAGTCCTTTTCATTCTGTTAACATCAACGACGACATGAAGCGCGATGTTATCAATGTTGACGACAAAACATGCAAATTAATTAAATTAATTACTTCTCTTTACAATCACACTTGTCATTTATTAATCTACTGCATGGAAATTCTGCTAGAACTAGTCTAAAATAGTTAGACCAGCTGATAACCACTTAACGTATAAAATTATTTAAATACTTTATCCTCACATTCTGACGCTCAGTTTAAACTTCAAGTCATCTTGTTTAGCTACTTAAAGCCATAATAGCGGTCAATTAAAACAAAGTCTATGTTTCTGATTTAGATTTTTTTGCATAATATATGATTAAAAAAAATTTAAATACACACCACTACCAAAAGTTGCCTCCATAATTTATACAAATGATTGAAGTCGGCAGGATTATGTGTTGCCAACAATTACTGGTCGTTTGTTTACAATCGAACACTAACGAGGGCACGTCAAAACAGTCTCGATGGACATCGTGACCGTAAAATGATTCCCGGATGTAAAGACTGTTGGAGAAGGATGGAATCAGACTCCAGGTCGAAAGTAAGCGGGTACAGTTCTGTCTTCTGGAGAGAAACGGCGACTAAAACCTGAGGATGAGTGGACGAGTAATTTGTGGGGGGAGGAAATCGAGCGGCGGACAGCGCTAAAGCAGAAGTTACTGTTAAGATCAGATCCACGTCGAATCTTCCAAACTAACGGGACCATTTACGATCTTGCTGAATATAGTTGTAAACAAAGGTGAGGAACTTTAATGTCTTCTAACATTTTTTACAGAAACCCTGATGAGTTAGGGTTACATTAACCTCCAAACATTTAGCTAAATCCTGAAATATTGTGCATTTTGACGGCTATTATGTCTTGAAATGCATCGACTCGCTCTTTGAGCAACTGAACAGCCATACCTAACAAAAGCTTTGCATGTGAATATTTATACATGTGTGAATTACGCGTCACATATTTAACCTTGTGTGACGTTAATTTGACTCATCGTGGTCGCTGTAAGAGTTCTTTACTTCCTTCTTCACACTTACCATTTTCTGTGTCATTATACTGAGAAATTCACTAAAATCAACAGTTCCAGAGCTGCCTTTAACGAACTCTGACACCACCGCCTTGATCTCTTCTTTCTTTGGTTCAAAACCCAGAGCTCTCATGGCAACCTGTGGCAGAAACAACAAAGGTCGTGTGTGCATAAAGAACACATTTAATCACGTAAAAACCGAAGCGGGACTGACCTTCAGCTCTCTGACGTCTATCGTCCCGGTCCCATCCGTGTCAAAGAGGTCGAAAGCCTCCTTGACTTCCTGCACCTGCTCCTCGGTGAGCTCGTGTTTAGAAGTTGCCTTCTTCTTTTGGCTCGAGGAAGACGCCGGTTTGCGGTGAAACGAGGCCTGGAGTAGATGACACGTCAAGAATTCACTGGAAAGTGTCAGTTTACGAGTTTGTAAGAAGCGCGGGCTGTGTTAACTGTCGTGCTAGCTTAGCACAGACCAACTTTACGACGCCAAAGAACAAATATTTGGATTCAAATTAACCAAGATTTGTTCGGAACAAACATATATATGTAAACAAGAAATTTTCTGTAAGGTTTTACCATTTGAGCTGATGTTTCGGTAAAGCAGGACTTCTAGTGTTAGATAATCGATTGTCAACAAAACAAGTAGCGACCGCTGTACTTTTTGTGTGCGCGTGTTAAACGACGCAGCGGGTATCCAATAGAAACCAACGAAACTTTGGATGTGCCCCTATTAGCCAATCACAAAGCACAGTAGGCGGGCTTTAAAAGTTTCTGCCAATCCCTCAAGCCGTCTTTTGTTGCCACGCAACCAGGACGCTTCACGCATGCGCACTTTATACTCTGGTCCAACGACGAGCAGAGCAACGGTTCAAACTTTTCAAAGACAGGTAACGTTCGGCTCTTTTATATATAAATATTAGTAGCGCTACAGCCAAGTACTTTCACAACATTTCCGTTTCATTTTCATGTCGTTATAAAAATGACCGAATTCCAGAAATGAAATGGTGAAACACGCGCTAGCTTGAAGCTACTTCCTGTGCACAGCTCCGTGAACCTGTTGTTGTTGATACTGACTCATTTCGCACTTACAAAGTGAAGAAACCGTAAAATATTTGTTGTTATCGCTGTAGATGCATGGGGTGCAAAGCTGTTGCTGACAAAAAAAGACCATTGGAAGTGATAAAACATGTTAGCATTTCTTTATTTTAACTTTATTTATATTTATCATTGAGTCATGACTTATTTTCAAGAGAGCCCTATTTTAGACAGACAGCATGTAGAGTACAGACAACAATAAAATCAATTAATAATAAATATAGTGTTATAAAAACAATAAAATCAAAGTGCCATTTAAAACAAGGTAAAATGCTAAACACAAACATTTGCTTAGATTTTTCTAATGACTAATTTGTGACCTTATCTAATTACTTTATTTAACGTAATTATTGTGTGTGTTACATTTGTTTTCTACTTTTCTCGCAGTAATTAAATTCACCAGAAGAGACGACTGCTTTCTCCATTTACTAATACAGAAACATTATGATCATTTGAAACGTATTGGCATTTTCAAAACACCGTATTTTGAATGCTTTGATGCATTTGTGTCATAATTTTCACCCTTGAAATTAATCTGAAACGTTATATGTTGTAATAAACTGCACAAAATTAATGGAGTGCAATTACACCAAACCCATTTAAAGGTCCAGCATTCGTTAAAGGATTGTCACCGGCCTCCTTTCATGTCGGAGGTCTAAACTAAACTTGTCAGCTGTAAAACAATAAATGTTCCTTCTTTCTCCAGTTCATGCAGCTCAGATAATGCCGGGAAGTGCAGTTATAAAAAATCATCATATTGGACTGCAGAGACTGTCGGCGCTGGCTGCAATGGTACGTTCCTCTGTGGGCCCCAATAAACAATACAAGTTTATTCAAGATGACACAAGTGGGGAGTCGGCACTCGTGTGCTCGTGTTTTCGCATCATCGAGAACCTGGAGCCCACATGTGCAGTGGGTCAGCTGGTTTTTGAGACCATTCAAGCCCACCATAAGATCTATCGCTCGGGATCGGGATGCCTGCTGTTCCTCGCAGGAGCGTGGAGCCGTGCTGCGCTGGGTTGTCTCCAGAAAGGGATTTCAGTTGGGCAGATAATCTCATTTATGTCTGAGGGGATGGATGTTTGCATAGATGTTTGCAAGAAGTCCTCAGTTTTATTGGATCTTGCTGTAAAAGGGAGACATGCTGCCACACCTCATGCTTTAGGACTTCAGCGGTCAGAGGGAACCATCACTGGAGCCCCTCAGGTCTCCTGCCATGTTCAAGAGTCTGATCACAAGACTCTTAACACAAGTCAGCAAAGGAAAACAAAGCTCAGCAGACATTTTTGTGAAACCAAGTCTAAAATTGTTCCCACAGCACTGCACCTCCGTCAGCCTGACGGTCCCGGAGTTACTCATGTGGCTCAGACGTTGAGCCACGGTTGTGATAGCTCCATGAAATTAGTCGTTGAGGCCGTCCAGATGCAGTCAAAGACAAATGAAGAGACGGTCAGTCCCACGTTTGACATTTCAAAAGTGATGACTTGTGTGCTGCCCGGCTTATCAGAGGAACACGCCTGCGTTCTTCAAGGCTGCGTTGTTCTTTTGTCTCACCAGCAGACTTCAGTTGCTCATCAGATAAAAGAGAAACTCCTGAAGGTCGCTCTTATCAATGGAGATCTAGCTCATACCTACCGCCACCTTGGCTTCAAAAAGCCCCCGGGTGTACGACGTGTGAGGGAACAGCTGCCTTCGACGAGTTCGAGCAAAGAGGACGAATGGTTGGACATGGTTGTGGGAGTCTTCTTGAACCTGGAAGTGAACCTGGTCCTGACCACAGGTCTCGCCTGTGAGCAGCTGATCCAGCGCTGTTGTGCACGTCGCATACTTGTGGTGGAAAAAGTCAGCTCCTCCGTTTTAGGAATAATCTCCGGTTCGTTTGGAGCTGTTCCCGTGACTTACGCCACGCAGCTGAGTAAGCGCTGCGTTGGCACCGGGGTGCAGGTCTTCATCTGGAGGGACCTCAGCAGCTATGAAAGGGGTTCTGCAACAGCTGTGAATGTTTCCACTGGCCGGGGCGTCGGCCTGGTCACAGCGGTCATCACAAGTTGTATACACGGTAATCTGCGGGCGCTGGAGGACCAGTTCTGGGCCTGCGCTTACCGTCTGCACCATGCACTGAAAGACGGAGTCCTCCTGCCTGGCGCTGGGGGCGCAGAGACTCTTTGTATTCACCACCTGCAAAAAGAAGCAGAGCGTCACGTAGAGGAGGGTTCTGACCGTGTTCAACGAACCAAAACAGCTGCTAATATCTACAGAGGTGACGTGTTACGACTGATGGCAGACGGTTTCATGGAATGGATAACCGCCATGATGGTTAACGCTGGGCGGTTCTCGCCAGTTGAAGCCAGGACTGCTGTGAGCCGGCAGCTGCAGGATTTTCACAGAGATCAAATCATCGGAGGGAAGTTCTCTCAACTCGCCTCGGAGAGTGAAAGAGAGGCCTCTGCTCTTTCCTCTGCAATAAAACCAGATGAAGCACTGGCAGCGATAATCTATGATAATCTGAGCGTGAAGCTGGAAGCATGGAGGAAAGCTTTAGACCTCGTCTTTCTGGTTTTACAGACCGACGCAGAGATCATCACAGGGACAGCACACGATGGTGAAGAACATCTCATGCTGTTATGATCCAACTGAACCTACATCATCATTTTTTTAGATATTTATTTATTTATTAAAGCGTTGCATACTTTAGTAAAATGGTTTCATGTCATTTAGTCCAAAACATGCGTGTTATTCTGCCCTTAGGTCCAGGCCTCCCTTACAAAAGAGATCTGTGATGTCAGTGAGATTTGCCTGGTTAAATGAAAGTAATACATAAATAAAGTCATGGCTTGACGGGTTGTGGTTGTATGTTTTAATTTTTTTATGAAGGTTGTTTAGAGAAAATGTTACCCATTTCTGACCACAAGGGGGCGACATACACACAGTGGAATTAAATGGTTATTTTTCCTCGAGTTTTTAAATAGAGTAACTTGTTTATGGCCTTAATGAGTGTCTTATTGTTGGCAAATGCATTAAAATGCCTGTATATTCACTGGAAACAGACCAGTATCGTTTGGTTTGAGAGAATCAAATATTAATGTTCAGAACAAAAGCATTCCCATACATTTAAAAAAAAAAAAACAACTAGTAAAATTATCCATCTAAGGAAGCGGCAGACTGAGTTGAAACTTTGCTTCGTCACAGTCTCTCATCCTGAGCAAGCACAAAGGAGACTGTGGAAAGAAAAACTCATTTTTAACAGGAAGAAACCTCCATCCATGTTCTAGAACTGCTCCGCTCAAGGTGGCTGCATGTTGGAGCAGCTCTGGTACTTTCATTCTGAGATTTTGCTTTTGGAAACTTTAATTCCTGTTTTTCTGGATGTAAATCACATTTGTTGGATGATTGTTTCCTCTGGTATCAGATGCTGTGCAGCTGGAAGGATTTTTACTGAAACTTTTTTAGTTTTGGACATTTGTTATGATGCGTAACCATGGCAACAAGGCAGTTTTCTACAACAACAGCAGCTGATTAACATCTCAAAAGCTCAAATAATATCTCAGCTACAGCCCCAAATCTCAAGTGAGTTGAAAAGGATGTTCTGTGGACGCATTCTCATCTACCTGCCAGCTGTGTTTGAGCGCCTGACCACTGAGATCCTGGAACTAGCAGGAAACACGGCTCATGACAGCGGAAGGACAGGATCGTCCCTCGGCACCTACAGTTGGTTGTCCACAGTGACAAGGAGCTCGGCAGACTGCTGGGAGGAGTGGCCATCGCTCTGGGAGGAGTTCTGCCCGGCATTCAGGCGGTCCTACAGGCCGGGTGAACCGAGAGGCCAGCCAAGTCTGGGTGGACAGATCGGACGGCTTCTGCAGCGTTTCTTAGGATCCACTGTGGAATGGACCTTTACAAGAGATCGTTCCTGTCTACAGCATCAGTATCTATAACACCTCTTAATGAAATGAGGACAACGAGTTACTACAACAAATAATTTCCCTCTGGGATTAATAAAGTATTTTTGAATTGAAATGAATTTTGAATCAGAACCAGGCTCAGGACGAGCCGCCATCTGCTTTGACCGGCTGGGTTTGAGAGAACAGGAAGTAGAAACAGACAGAATGACAGGTCCAGGTGGACTTTCTATAGGAGGAAAGAGACAAAAAAAACATGTTAAGATATAAATAATTACCAATACAAGCAGGGAGAGTAAATAAAGATGGCAGCAGAGTGAGAAATGTGGTCAGTTTGTCCTCCAGCAGAACTAAGGGATGGCTCAGGAAACCAGGCCAACCCTAACTATAGGATTTATCAAAAAGGAAAGTCTTCAAGTCTTAAAACTGGACAATGTGTCAGCCTCATGGACAGAAACTGGAAGTTGGTTCCACAAAAGAGGAGCCTGATAACTGAAAGATCTTCCTCCCATTCTGCTTTTGGAAACTCTAGGAACCACGAGTAAACCTGCAGTCTGAGAGTGAAGTGCTCCGTTAGGAAAATATAGAACAGTAAGATCTGTAATATGAGATGGAGCTAGGTTGTTGAGAGCTTTGTAGGTTAGAAGTAAGATTTTGAATTCAATTCTGAATTTAACAAGGAGCCAATGGAGAGAAGCTAAAACTGGAGATTTCTCAAATATTAAAGAGTGGATGCATTTTTTTAAATTATTATTATTATTGTTTATTTTATTTTTTTATTTATTTTTTGCCTGTATGTTCAGTTTTAACAGGCATTCATAATATTTATCAATTATCTTTAAGAGTGGTTGTAATAAATGAAGTAGCAGTTTAGCATTATCACTCTTCCCGGGGGGGGGGGGACATCTGGATGGGAACGTGTCGTTCTAAAACCTGTATATATTGTTTTCATTTGTGGAGCCTTTCCAGATGTGCACGCTGCACATGCCAGAGGCACTAATGCACCCCCATACCATCAGGGAAGCAGGCTTTTAAACAGTGTTTATAACAGGCTGTATGGTCCCTCTCTTGAGTAGGAAAACCATTTTGTACATGTACTGTGTTCATTGGTGAATTAATTATGGGTTTATAAGATGAGCAATTCATATTTTGTTTTCAGGTTCCACGTTATCCAACTTTTTGGGGTTTTATTAATGGGAATAATCGATGAAGCACAAAGGCCTCCAGATATAGTTTACATCTTTTATTAAAGTTTTTTTTTTTCTTCCAATTAATTTCTGGAAACACTTACCTGTATATATTTTGGCCTTTTAAGTAATTAACACAAATATAGAATTGTCTAGCAACATTATCTGATTTAACATAGCGTTTATATTAATTACACCTTTACTTAATCTGAGAAATCATTAAATACTAAAATGGATTATTGTTTGGACAAACAGAGGCTTCTCGCTTTGACGCCTGATGGAAGCAGAACTTTGTGTCAAACGTGTCGCAGCGATGAAACGTGCGAACTTCCTCCTCCTCAGGGAACTTCCTCCTCCTCAGGGAACTTCTTGTTGTTTTCAGGGAACTTCTTGTTGTTTTCAAG